ACCATGCCATTGTGCTTTATGCACTAGCCAAAGAGGAACAGAAGACAGCGTACATCTTTTATATGCTGTCAATATTTTTTCCTCTTCACACGCTCGGTGGTAACCTCCAACTGTGAAATAATACAAAATGTTTAAGCTAATGAAACTCTCAGCAGTTGATCAGCCTTCATTAAGACTATTTTTACTTTAATCCACAAACATATCAGCCCATTACTCTCACCTGAATTATTGCACTCTTTTGCCTGTCATTAGAGTTTGCTCTACGTGGTGAAAACTTGAAGTGATAATAAGCTTCTATAATGTAGCTGGTTGCATTATATTTCTGCATCACCTGACTAGAAAATAAGTGGCAGACTTCTATATGTTTTGGACTGGCTTTAAATTTAATTACAACATTGACTGCTGTGGTGTTGTTTCAGGAAGGCCCCCTTTCTGCAGGATAATGAGCCCAGAACGGCATTAAAAAAATCTGCCAAAATGTGGAATGTCTTTGCAGAGAGCGTGTTAACACAGTGGGATCCCCATTATGTCTGATAGGTTGTAGGTAAGGTTGTATGGTTGTGCAATATAGATTGTAAGGTTTTCCATCTTTTGCAATCTGCATTCAACATCATCCAGTCAGATTTGTTCCATCTCAAACTTGTCCTAAACTCTGACAAAACCAAAGCGTTGCTGTTTTCAAACTGGAAGTCAGTCCCAGCAGTTCTTCCTCTGATTTTATCCTCAAATGGTGTCCCCATTGAGTTTGTCGATTACTATAAATATTTGGTTGGGTATCTTGGTCGATTCACATCTCTCCTTTAAGCTCCACGTGGAAAACCTAGTAAGGAAACTGAAAGTTAAATTGAGTTTCTTTTTCAGAAACAGATCCTGTCTAACCCTGAATGTTAGGAAACACCTTGTGTCTGTGACTTTCCTTCCCTCCATTGATTACGATGACATTATTTACATGAACGCTCCTACAAGAACCCTGCAGATGTTGGATGCTGTCTATCATGGTGCACTAAGATTCATAACTGGCTGTGATTATTGTACCCACCACTGCACCCAGTATTCACTGGTTAACTGGACATCATTAACTTCATGCAGACTGTCCCACTGGTACATTTTCATCTTTAAATCACTTCTTGGTCTGCTGCCTTCATACATCTCCTCCTACATGTCTCTGCATGAGTGCAGCTACAGCGTGCGCTCTCAGGACATTATTACCTGCAGTGTTCCCTCAGTGAGGACTGAACTAGGCAAAAGGGCCTTCTCCTACTCCGCTCCTGTTTCCTGGAATATCTTACAAAAAGATTTGAAGCTCTCGACCTTGACCTCTCTAAGTGGCTTCAAATATCTGCTAAGTTCCTGGCAAAAACCAATGCAGACATGTTCCTGTTTTTAGTTTTCTACACCGCCTTACCACCTAGCTGTTTTTTTGTTACCTTTTTTTAATGCCATTTTATTTTCACTTGTTATTCTCAGTTTGTATTCATCCTTTTATGATTGTCTGTTACTGTCTTTGTTGTCCATTGTTGTCATCATTCTTTGTTAAAATCAGGTCTCTCTTGTAAATGAGTCCCCGAGGCTCAATGGGATTAACCTGTCTGAATAAAGGTTGAATGAATGAATGTAGATTGTGAAGGGTTTTAAGCATGCACAAAACCTCCATAGTGAGGTTGTGGTGCCAGTTATTGGGGTTTTGGGTAGAGCATGGGGGACCAAAGTGTGGGGCCTGCATACATCAGTGTGGCTTGGCCATCAAGACTTTAAAATACACCTAGCCATGCTGGCCTCATGTCTAGGTTATGACTGTGATCATGACAAGATCGTAGAATCAATCTATCGTAGACATGATATTTGTGGCAGTAATGTCACGTTAGGGTAGCGTGAGCTTCTATCATGTAGCTGCAGCCTGCCATGGTCTTGGAAAGTCTTACCACAGTGGGTGAATAAAATGCGGTTCAGGCTCAGGAGAGTGTCTTCATATGCTTTATATCTATTTGTGTGGATTGCAAAAATTCTGAATCTGGCTAACATCACCTGCAGGAGACATGTCAGTTGGGTAGATCGTCCTTAATTATGACCCGCATACATTTGCATTCACCCTGCGAACATAATGTGGCCCGGTGTGTTACAAACCATCTCTCAGTATGGTGTAAGTGGTGTAAGCTGTCAGACTTTAGAATGTCTTGCAGACCTTCAATCTTCGACTTAGTGGGGTCAGCTTGTGATGAAGTTGCCTGAAGCCTGTTTGTGGCCGTAGGCAGTACTTGCATTACTTTGCATTTTGGACACCTTGACACTCGGCGACATCCTTGACACGCAGCGACATTAATAGCATATTTTCCATATTAAATAGCAGCAATTATCCACAGTATTTTACAACTATATTAACACGTGCTACTTCAGACATACAAGCTGCTCAGTTAAGTTTTGAACATATTATTTCACCTAAGATGAGCCATTCCTAAATGTGTGTACAACACATAAGTTTGTCAGTATTCATACTTTTACACACCTATGTTTCACCGTATGTACCATATAGCTCCACTCTATGTATACATACAGTACCTGCTGGGCTGTTTGGAATTGACTTGGGCCAGCCAGCATGAGTAAGCAGCCAGGGGAAGATTGAAGCAGCCAGATGCAGACGCTTGGGCTACCGAAGATATCATTACCCCAAGCATGTAGCAGACCAAAACGGCAGCCCCCCCAAGTGGAGTTTCATCAAGGTGGACCCCCACCCATGTTGAGGGGGAGTGTACCAGTTAAACGGTCGTCCTGCAGCGAGGAGAGGTATTAAGCGGCAGGTGGAAAGAAAACGCATCTCGTGACTGGAATGAGGTGGAAAAAGGACGAGTGCAGATACTCACAGGCTGGCAGACGCGTTCACACTGTGAAATTGTCTCATGATTTACTTTCGCTGCTGCTTTTACAACGCAATAGAAAACCACGTAGCGCCTCACCGTGCGTTTGCTTGAGCTTTTTACATACAATTTCAGATTTATATATATTTTTTCCAGCTACCATTTTATAAGATTTTTGCATTGCACTCGTGAAAAATGTATCTAAAAACTTCCACTCAAAGGAAATAGTGGGGATATTTTTGGTGCAGGGCTTTGACAGAACAAGTTGATGCATGGCCATTGGCAGAGACATCAGCAGTATCTTCATACGGGAATTGGACTGTCTCCCCTCAGTGAGGTAACCCATAAACCATGAATCATGCTTCTTTGCTCCAGACTCTTGCGGTCCCAGGGTCGGAGAGTTTGACCACTTCTCAATGTGGTCTCCCTCCTCTCCTCACGCTCCTCCCATCCCCATCACCACACATTCCAACCACCGGACCAGTCACGTAAGGTCAAACAAATAAAGTGGACTAGCAGTTGTGTATTAAGCATTTCCCTCGCAAAATGCACTGGAAAGACATACAGCTTCTTAAAACCAAGTATGAAGGAGAAATACAAAACTAACAGATCTGTAACATAAAGGTTTACCTGTTCCATTTTCTTCACATGCTTGTTCAGTCAGCTCAGTCATGGAGCTGCTTTGGCAGTCTGCCTGTCTGTTCATCTCTGGTCTTTCTTCTCCAAACTGGTGGGTCACTGGTGTTTGGATCCTTTCTACTCGCTGTTAACCACCAACTTGGACAGAACCTCAACTCTATGCTTAGTCATTTATTATGCATACGGTATGAAAATTAAAGTCATACATCAAGTATGCTTTGTTGAAAAGAGAAAAAAATCAAAGAAACAGACATGGGGTATGAAAGGATGTACTCTGAGACCCAATATCATGATTTATTTAAGGCCTGGACTTTTTTTGTTCTAATGATAATAAAGTAAACGTAGTAATCACTGGCTGCAGTTGTAGGTTTAAAGAGAAGAAGAGAGTTTATCAAAAGCTTAAGCACGAGTGATAAATGGACAGTTCATCCGGTGCAAGAGTGGCCCTTGAGCGAGTGGTTTTAACAGTGCCCCGGGCCACACTCCAGCTGAGTTAAACACACTCTGACGTGTGTGTGTGTGTGTGTGTGAGAGAGAGAGAGAGAGTGGAACATGACATTTCTGAGGGTGTGATGTAGTCACTTCCTCCCGCTGGACTGAGCAACTGTTGTCAGCTTGACCCTGCCAGTTAACCCCTCGCCACCCCTGGCACCGCGGGCGAGGGTTACGCTGCTGCGCGTTCAGGACGAAGAGAAAGGCAGATTGTATGTGTGTGTAGCGTGTGTGCTTAGAGGACCACAGGTGTCTGGGTGCGGTGTCAGGGTGTTAAGAGGTCTCAGAGAGGGCCCCTCGACTTTCAGCATCTGGACGAAGCTGAAAAGAGGAAAGGTTGGCGAGGGTTAGCAACACATACCCCGAGGGGTGCCGGGGCAGTAGTGGACAAGCAGGTGCCTGTGTTGACAGTACCCCTTCGGACTTGAACTGGAAACACACACACGCTCACACACTTCACAATAAATCCTGGAGAGTCAAGCATAATTGTGGAGCCTGATTAGAGCGAAGGCAGAGGGAATCCCCTTTTACACACACATCACGGGATCTTTTTTTCTTGAGGTCAAAGGTGAAGGGAGGGAGAGGAAGGCGCACAGAACTTAGATATCCTGCTCACAGTGTGTTGTTGTGTGATCTGGACTCACATTGACCAACAAATCCACTCATGTAGATCATATGTGACAACTAAAGTCAGCACAAGTTGCTTTTTTTTGGTGCATCACTTTTTGGCAAACAGTTAATGAAGTCTACAACTGTAACATAAATTCAGCTACTTTGCTTCAGTTTATTATGTTTTCAAAAACAAACAAACAAAAACCCCACAAATACCTCTCTGTCTGTAAAAGCAACCCATTTGCAGTGACTGTTAGTCAGGTGTACGGGTGCATGGCTGGGAATGATTATTTAGTTAAAAAGGAGGGGGCGGAGGCTCGCAGAGGGAGGTCGAGGAAAATTGGAACAGCTGTTGATTAACATGAGTGCTCTCTCTTGTGTTTTTTTTTTAAACTCTCTTTTCAGTAGAGGAGGAAGAGGAAGATGAAGAGATGATGGAGGCAAAGCCAGGCCCAGAGTTTGAGCATCGAGATGAAGATGACGGAAAGGGAACCAAAGAAGGTTTGAGGATCTCCAGGCACAAATGTTTCATCAGAAGCACCAGATTATCTGAAGGAAAACCAAGCACTTAGCATCTTACCCATGCTATTTCTCAACCGCTATTAGCTGAACCATATTTACACACAGGCTATTTACACCGGCTCAGACTGCCTCAGAATAAATAAATAGCTAAACAGATGCTCTGATAATAAGGTTTGGTAAACAAACCGTCTCTCCGGCCACGGCTTGTCAGTATTCGTCCTTGTTTGCCTTTGTTTAGGGAAATGTCTACAGAGACCCGGCAAGCAACTTTTTATAGCTTCTTTTTTGGCAGCAGCACAATATTTTCACCCACAATTTTTTAACACACAGTGAACAACAACTCTTGTTTACTTTGTTCCTGCCAATGTTTTGCACCATATGTGGTGCTGGAGTTCAATGCAACTAAATTAATTTAGTTGCATTGAACTCCAGCACCAACAATACCATTTGCTGTGATCACTGAGATTTTTCTTCCTTAATTCCTGAAGGAAGCCATCTTTGTAAAAAATAACCCATCCGCCATTAAACAGGGGCGGAGCCTTCGTGTTCAACGGTCCCCCTCTTACAAAGCTGTTATTGCTAGTATCACTCAGCCCCCTGTGAACAGTAAACAGCCATCAGGGCATTAATGACCAATTGTTAGGCTGATGGTCCTCCTTGATCATGTGAACAGCTGGTTCTGGATGTCACCAGCGAACTGGTTGATCCACTATGAGAAGGAGCTACAGTATTTATAAGACTGAGCTGAATACAGCACCTCAGACTTCATCAGTCTTTTGGATTAAAGACGAAACGTTTCAACAAGTTTTTAATTTTATTTTTAATTTGTACTTTTTTTGAAACCGTCCAGAGGACCTGACTTAACTTTGTTAGATTTTTCTACCTGGATCATTGAGCATCCATCAGGACATTTTCTTCCTTAGGTTTTTCAGCACGTAACTCATTCTGCAATGTTTGTGCTATTTCAGCAACATACATCAAAACGTTAGCTCATTCAGGACATTCCTGCTACAACTTTTGGTATTTGAGCAATTTTTACTTTTTGAAACATTTAGCGTTTTCTGACTTTTTTATCATTAAAAAGGAATGGAGCTCTCTTCACATCCTTCCAACACTGTTCTGTTTAAAACCTTTTACTTTCATTTACACTCCTTTTATTTCAGCTTTTGTTCTCATTCTGCCCTTTCTAGCTTATTGGCGCTAATTTCAGCTTCCTTCAGCTTCCTTCAGCTTCCTTCAGCTCCTTTTCTTTCTGCTCATTTGTTTTTTCAGTTAGTTTTCTGCTGCTTTCAGCTTCTTTCTGCTAAATTCTGCTTTTTTTCCTCCTACTTTTACAGCTACTCTTTAGGGGTGGTTGGGGCTAAATTCCACCTTTTATGAATCTTTCTTATTATTTCCAATTTGTACGCTCCTTTCAGGCTGTTTTGGCTCATTTCAGCTTTTATTTATAATCTTTTCAGCAATTTTTTTTCTAGTTTTTAGCTGCTTTTCTGATAATTTCAGTTTCTTTTCTGCAAATTTAAATTATTTTTTGGTAATCTATTTAGCCTCTGCCTATTTCTGCTCATTTCTGCTACATTTCTATTCAGCTTCTTCAACTAATTTCTGTTGTTTTTATTCTGTTTCAGCAAATGTCAGCTGTTCAAATTGAACTCACGTTAGCGATTCATTTATAAAACCTTTTCAGCCTAGTCACTTTCAACATTTTCAGCAGCTCTCAGCAAAAATCATTTGGTAATAAACATTCACACTGCATTTCAGGGACTGCAGTCTCTAGTTTTTATTATTTCTGCCTCATCCACAAAATTTAAACTTTACCTTGCATTTGGATTGACATCATGCACTTAAGAATGATTCACTGAAAGTTAATTTCTTCTTTAATAATAAGCATGTTTTGAATATAATGTGTCATTATTATTCTTTTAAACAAGATAAATGCAGCAACTTTGTGAGCTGTTTCTAAAATAAGTCAAATGTTGTTCATTTCCTGCTGTATCTAAGGTTGGGGGTGATTAGCAGGCAATTAATCTGAAATCAGTTTTTTTCCTAGTCCTGTCAAGAATATGTCAGCCATTAAATCCTCAATCACTCAACCTGTAATTCTAACAATAGTATTGTGTATTTTAAATCCAGATCTGACTGACCTGGATTTATATTCAGCCTTGTGTCTAGGACTCCACTGAAAATTCTTAGGTTAAATTAGTTTAACCTTTAAAGTATTTTTCCAAAATATTTGTCTGTTCCTTCTTTGTTCTTTCTCTCAGCTTGTTGAATTTGTTAGTATTCATGAAACTCGGCCACAAGAGAGACAACAAAAGTACTGTACATCAAGGAAAATATCTGTAATAATATTACTTACACTACAGCAAGAAAAAAAAAAAACTTTTTTGTGACACAACTTGCAAACATCAGCATTTATTACTTTAAAAAAGTTAAGGCATTTTTAAAATTATTAAATGGTAATGGTAAATGGACTGTACTTATATAGCGCCTTTCTATCTTATCGAGATACTCAAAGCGCTTTACAACAACCTGTCCTCATTTACCCATTCATACAGCTCTATACTAGATCTCTACAAAGATAACTGAAGAAATCATTCTAAAGAGACTAATCAGAGCTTTAGATCACATTCATACACTGATGGGACACACATCAGAGGCTATGAGGGGTTCAGTGTCTTGCCCATGGACACTTCGACATGTGACTGCTGGTGGATTCAAACCCCCAACTCTTCCATTGGACTGCTCTAACCACTCAGCCACAGCCCCCCTTATTATTTCTGTTAATGACTGTGATCTCCATCTTCTAGAGTCTAGCCATAGACGGATTGTGGAGGTAACAGGTCCAGGATAGAAACTCAGACATCCCTCTCCCTAGTGACACTTTCCAGCTTGTCCTGGAGGACCCCGAGGCGTTCCCAGGTCAGAGAAGATGCACAATCCCACTAACAAGTTCTGGGTCTTCTCCGGGGCCTCCTACCAGTGGGACGTACCTGTCAAACCTCTGAAGAGAGGCGTCCTAATCAGCTGCCTGAACCATCTCAACTGACTCCTTTCAATGAGTAGAAGCAGCGCCTCTACGGCGAGCTTCCCCCGGTTGACGGAGCTCCTCACCTTATCTCTAAGGCTGCCACCCTGGGAAGCCAGCCCATTTTGGCTGCTTGTATTTTATGATCTCATTCTTTTGCTTGTGGTCCAAACCTCATGACCAACGGTGAGGGTTGGAACCCAGACAGACCAGTAAATCGAGAGCCTTGCTTTTCGAATCAGCTCTCTCTTCACCACAACAAAACGTAAGCAACACACTCATTACTGAGGATGAGGCCCCAGTCTGTCGACCCGTCTCCCGTTACCATCCCATAACCACACCATCACTCGTGAACAAGATGCTCCGACACTTGAACTCCTCTACAACAGCAGATATGTTGCTATGTCAAAATCATGTTTTTCCTGGAAATATTTAAAAGTATTACAACAAGGTGATTGTTTTGGATGGGTGTGCTCTGTTTGCACGTGTTAAAAGTCTCCTTCTGAGATTCCAACAGGATGTTGTCTTGAATCACCGCAGTGAAGGCTACCTACGGCACAGATCTGGTTGGCAGGCCGTAGACTGATGAAGTCCTCTGGATGGGGGATGAGACGTTTCTTACTTAAAGAAACTGGGCCAGATGACATGATTAAGTCTTTTTTGTTATCTACCTGGATGATTGAGCTTAACCACTTAAAAAAAAATTATAAGTATTTTAATAATTACTGAAATATTTTAAACTGACAGCATGTCAGAAATATGAGCTATACAACGTCAATTTAACAAATTGCCATCAAACTTACAAACATAAATAAATACAAAGCCTTATTACAAAAAATAGTAATTATTATTTTCTATTAAAATTAAAGCACCATATTATTGGTAGATATCAGAGCTTCGGCTAAACAATAAGTAATCTCATCAGTAATTGCCTTGCTGGTCTTATAGTTATAAATGAACACAAACGTTGTCATTCTTTAATTTTCATTCTTCGTCTTCATTAAAGTCCTCACATGGTGCTGGTCAGTCTGTCATGAAGCATGGTCACTCATGTGTGACGCTCTCTGCCAGTCAGTGGGTGGATCAGATAGGAGGGTTGGGGGGTAGGTTACAGTTGGGGTTAGGGCGGGTCCAGCACATCAGCTTTGTGGCATGTGGGGGTCAGCACTGATTAAAAACCTGTCACCTGACCCCTTGGCCTGCATTTCAAAGTAAAGAGGAATAGAGAAGAGTGAGTTTGTTCAAAAGTTAGGGAAGGGGTCATGCTGTACTTAATAAAAAAATAATGCACAAGGCTTTTTGGGTATGTTAAAATACTTGAAGGGATGTGTATAAATACTCATATTCCGCCTCTTAAGCTGAGTATCTGTGCCTTCAGTGAATGTGAGGCTCTCATAAACACAGTCATCCGTCTCCCCTCATGCCGGCCTATTAGAGGGCCTGGCCTTTGATCCCTGCCACTCGATTCACTGAGTCTTTTCTGACAACTCGTAAGAAACACAAAGAGATGGAGGGATCAAAGTCAAGAGGCAGGGTAAAGGTCGATACATGTGTGTCTGCATGCATGTGTGTCTGGGTGTAAAAATGGCATGTGCGCTTGGGGACAGTGACTTCAAAAACCGGACGCCGTGCTGTGCAGCCATTACGTTCAAAGGGAGGCGTGCCGCCGCTCAGAGGCCTTTGTTTTCTCTTGTTTTTTTCCTCTTGTTTATGAAGTTCTTGCTGTAGGATTTTATTAGAGCAGATGCATTAGAAACTGTTTGTAGTTTATTATGTTCTGGATGTGATTCAGTTTTTTTACAAAGATGAAGGGAATGTTAATCCGACATCAGAAGCGCAGGTTAGTGCTTTTGCTCGTAGCGGAAATGATCGTCTTGTGTGCGTCTGGGTTTGTAAACCTCTAGAAAAGTGTAAAATCACTTTAGTGTCCCAGACAAACAATAAAACAAAACATTCACCAAATGTCTAATTTAACTTTTCTATGTCAAGTTATGTGTAGGACTGATAAAAAATGATCTGTTTCCTCAAACTAACTGGACAAAAGCTAACTGGTTGCATCTGTCAGCACTCCACATTTGTCTCAGAATGTCAAGAACAACTTTATGTACAGTGATAAACTTTCATGAAGTAACTCTTTATTTTATTTTACAAAAGAAGAAATCAGAGGTGCAAGAATCAAGTATATGTTTTTTTATAATATACACTAATTATACTATTAAAATGGTTTATTTGCTTGTCTTTTATTGTGTAAGTGAGAATGTTTGACAAACTAGTTCTGATTACCTAATAGTTAGGACAGATAAATACACTGTAAGATAAGATAAGATAAGATAAAACTTTATTGATCCAACAGGAAATTGTTTATGTATATACATACAATGACTATCTCCCTAAAAGATTTTCATCTACTTGTAAAAATAATAAATTAAGGTTTATCCGACTAGATATCTGAATTAATAAATGCAGATGGGTTTTTTGTTATAAGTTAATTCACTGTTTGTTGTCATTTCAGTGTAAATTTAAAGATTTAAAGAATATGAGTATTACTTGAAATATACATAATGCAGTTAAGGCTCAGGCACTACTTGAATGAATGCTTATCACCAGATAAATTGAATTGGCTTCAGGTGTTAATCAGTTGTAGATGTACATCCAGTGATAACTTTATAAAAGTTTTGTTAAAATTTGTCCAGTGGTTTGATAATCAATGATCATGCATAATGTATAGAAGTTGGAGTGTTGTGAATGTCTCTGAGCTACAATCATGCTACATTTTAGCTCAATGTCTGTAAAACTGACTGAACTAGAGACATTTGAGTGTTTTCAAAGGTTTGTTCAGGCAGCCGTCCTGAATCAGTTATAGTTTACATCCAAAGATTACTATTTGCAAGTTTCATTAAAGTGCATTCAAAAGTCCATGAGATATTTTAGTAGCACAAAGACAGACAGACATGGGCATGATCACATGTTACCATCTTCAGGTGATGGGCAAAGCAGTATCTTCAGTTTCTGGCTGAACTGAGCATTATGCACAGTCTGAGCAGTTTTCTCTGTTCGTGTTTGTTTCTCCTAACAGGCTCATTTCCCGTGTTGCGGGAGCTGACAGAGGAGGAGAGGCAGCAGATCCTCCACTCCTCCGACTTCCAGAGCTTCTTCGACTGCAGCATTCGGGTGATGGAGAGAGCTCTGGCTGAAGATAGCAACATATTCTTTGACTACAGCGGACGAGACCTGGAGGACAAAGAGGGGTGAGCAGCTCTGCTCTTACTCCAGCCAATCTAAAATCAACTAAAACCCAAACAGTTTGGATCCCGTGAGCAGATTCCACATTTGTCTTCCAGACTTTCTAAAACCTCAATCAGAACATGCCGCAACAAAATCAATTTGAGCCGCACATGTGAGCGTCTGCTGATGCATCTCCAACTCCCAAATGTGTGAACACTGACTCATAGTCACCGTGTCCCTCTTGGGGCCTGGGAGCGTCTTTGTTCTTTGTAGAGCATGTCTTCATCGTGATGTCACACTCTCAGATGGTTAAAGATTCCTGTGAAGTGACAACCATCACGTCTTACAGAGCATTGTCCTGCCATCTGAAATACTACCTCCAAGTGGAGGTTATCAAAGGGTTCGTTGACACTGGAAGAGGCATAAGTGCAAAGCTGTTTTAGGTTACTGCTCTGCTATTATGGAAGAACTGCTTTTACTGACTTACTTCAAATTTGACCACAGCAGCCACAGAGAAGCATGAAGCCTGTGGTCAAATAAAGATTATGTCTAAAACAGGCCAAGCACTCAACATGAGACCTGTTCTTTTTTCTTTTTTCTCTTAAGTGATGTGCTTTAACTGTGTCACAACATAGCTTACATTCCTCTGCCCAGTTTCTTTATATACAGTCTCACCCAGCATTTTGAGCCTATATATAATGTGGATGTCACTGTCAGTCAGCGTGGATGTCATATATACACAAACCGGTGCCTGTAATTTGTGTTAATTTGTACTCCAATAGAACAACATGCACAATCTGGTAACTTTGCCCTCTATCTTTGATGTGGAGCATTTGGAGGAAGACAAAATCTTAAAGCTGGTACTGCTTTTTGTGACATTCGTCTACAGCGAGTTGCAAAAATCTCGTCCAGTGCCCAGTTCGAGTTCGATAAAACAAGTTCAAGTGTGGGTTTAGAGTCTGTGGGAAATGTACAAAAAAGTTCCAAAAAAGTTGGGACACTAAACAAATTGTGAATAAAAACTGAATGCAATGATGTGGAGATGGCAAAAGTCAATATTTTATTCGTAAATAACATAGATGACAGATCAAAAGTTTAATGTAAATGTAACATTTTAAAGGAAAAATATGTAGATTCAAAATTTCATAGTGTCAACAAATCCCAAAAAAGTTGGGACAAGTAGCAATAAGTGGCTGGAAAAAGGAAACTGAGCATATAACGAACAGCTGGAAGACAAATTAACACTAATTAGGTCAATTGACACCATGATTGGGTATAAAAAGAGCTTCTCAGAGTGTCAGTGTCTCTCAGAAGCCAAGATGGTAAGAGGATCACCAATTCCACCATTGTTGTGCAGAAAGATAGTGCAGCAATACCAGAATGGTGTTACCCAGCGTAAAATAGAAAAGACTTTTAAGTTATCATCAACCGTCCATAACATCATCAAAAGATTCAGAGAATCTGGAACAATCGCTGTGCGTAAGGGTCAAGGTCGTAAAACTCTACTGGATGCTCGTGATCTCCGGGCCCTTAAACGTCACTGCACCTCAAACAGGAATGCCACTGTCAAGGAAATAACAGAATGGGCTCAGGAATACTTCCAGAAAGTATTGTCAGTGAACACAGTCCACTGTGCCATCCGCCGTTGCCAGCTGAAACTCTACAGTGCAAAGAGGAAGCCATTTCTAAGCAAGCTCCACAAGCTCAGACGTTTGCACTGGGCCAGGGGTCATTTAAAATGGAGTGTGGCGAAATGGAAGACTGTTCTGTGGTCAGATGAGTCACGATTTGAAGTTCTTTATGGAACACTGGGACGCCATGTCATCTGGACCAGAGAGGATAAGGATAGCCCAAGTTGTTATCAACGCTCCGTTCAGAAGCCTGCATCACTGATGGTATGGGGTTGCATGAGCGCTTGTGGCATGGGCAGCTTGCATGTCTGGAAAGGCACCATTAATGCAGAGAACTATGTTCAGGTTCTAGAACAACATATGCTCCAATCTAGACGTCATCTCTTTCAGGGAAGACCCTGCATTTTTCAACACGATAATGCCAGACCACATTCTGCAGCAATCACAACATCATGGCTACGTAGGAGAAGGATCCAGGTACTGAAATGGCCAGCCTGCAGTCCAGATCTTTCACCTATATAGAACATTTGGCTCATCATAAATAGGAAGGTGCGACAAAGAAGGCCCAAGACGATTGAACAGTTAGAGGCCTGTATTAGACATGAATGGGAGAGCATTCCTATTTCTAAACTTGAGAAACTGGTCTCCTCTGTCCCCAGACGTCTGTTGAGTGTTGTAAGAAGAAGGGGGATGCCACACTGTGGTAAAAATGGACTTGTCCCAACTTTTTTGGGATTTTTTGATGCCATGAAATTAGGAAACAACATATTTTTCCCTTAAAATGATACATTCTCTCAGTTTAAACTTTTGATCTGTGATTTGTGTTCTATTCTGAATAAAATATTACATGTTGGCACCTCCACATCATTGCATTCAGTTTTTATTCACAATTTGTTTAGTGTCCCAACTTTTTTGGAATCCGGTTTGTATGAACAAATAATATCTTACCTGTTTTAGATAGCTTTTTGAAAGACCTCAGAGAAATACATAAAAATTCTAACTGGATCAATGAGGTAAAGGCTAGTCCAAACAGAGGCTAACCCTAAAGAGGATTGGTGCCATCTTAAAACAACTTCACCCTCCAACATTTCTAAGTGGTTCATGCAACTTCTAATTCGTAAACTTTAAAACTGTTGTGAGGTTCTCATTACATGAATTTTTAGGATATTTGTCTTCCAAGGTCAGCCCTTTAATGACAAGAATAACAAAAAATAGCTAAAATAAATCTACTTTTACTTTTATAGAAAATTGAATCAAGATGTTGTTTCATACATTTATTTCGGTTAAAACCATTTATTTATACAGTAAGTATGTATGGGAAATATACATATTATTATAAAAGAAAAGTAGTATATTATACTCACCTCTATTTTTAATTAGTGCTGCATGTACAGTAATTGATTTTCCTAACACAGGAGTTAATTTTTAAAAATGGCTACCGTAGTTTATCCAGGTGTAGGCTTTATGCGTTGTACCCTTCTCCAACCATCAGCTGGCTCTAACAGCTACAGGTTTTTCCTATTGAAACAGACGTGGCTTCAGTGCTGATCAAAAACTCTCAGATTTGATCATTTCTGGTTCCAGAGACTCTGGAAGCGGCTCCAGTTTGTCCTTCAATCGACTCTTCTATGACGAGCACTGGTCAAAACATCGTGTCATCACCTGTCTCGACTGGTCCCCTCAGGTGAGCCGTTAAACTTCAAGTGCATTATTACGTTTAAAGAGGGAGAGATCAGTTTATTTTTGTTTATTATTGGACCACCTTTATCTCTCACTTTGTTTGCCCGCCTGTGTTTCCATTTTCTTCTGTTAGTATCCTGAGTTATTGGTCGCCTCCTATAACAACAATGAAGATGCTCCCCATGAACCGGATGGAGTTGCCCTGGTGTGGAACATGAAGTTTAAGAAAGCTACACCAGAGTACATCTTACACTGTCAGGTACTTTCACACATGCATGTACTTTCAGCAGTTTCGAAGGTGATAGCAGTCCTAATGTTGGATTGTTGTGAATACAGTTATCCCTCACATATAGCGGGGGTCTCTGGAACCCCCGCGGTAGGTGAAAATCTGCAAAGTAGCAGCGTTATAGTTATTTGATTATTTATATATATATTGAGGTTTTATAAACCCTTCCCACACTCTTACAAACCTTTCCCACGCTCTTATTAATCTTTCCCTGTAATAAATTTAGTGGAGGACCCGAAAATTCTACCAGACACAGAGCGCGTTCAATAAGCTTCATTTTGAAAAGACTGGTGGAAGTCTTGCCCCTGTTGGACGCGTGGCAGGTGTGCGACAGGGGCAAGGTGAAACAGGAAAATCCAGGGCACAGAAACTTGGTCAGGATGAGGAGATGAGTCAGGAGCAAGAGATCATCGCTGGACATTTACTTGTGCAAGGCTTTCAATAATCAGGTGCCAGATAGAGACCAGGGGAGCGCTTAAATGCTGCGGCCGCCAGGTGAGATGGATTATACTGATCACAGTGGAGCAGGTGGGCGTGGTGAAAAGACAGACATGAACTGTGACATTCCCACTCTCTTATAAACACTTCACATGCTCCTAAACACTTTGGCAAAGACGATGAAGATGATGATGATGAGCTGAATGTACAGTACACACAATATAAAAAACCTGGTTATGATACAGTGAAGCTGCAAGAACTGAACTGTGATATATTGACGGACGACTGTACAGTTGGGCCTCACTATATCGTGGGGGTTACGTTCAAGACACCCCTGCGATAGTTGAAAATCTGCAAAGTAGGGACATTATATTTATTTTAGTATTTATATATACTGTATTAAAGGCTTTATAATCCCTTCCTACACTCTTGCAATGTTCTTAACATTGTTCTAAACTCTCTAAACCAGGGCTATTCAACTGGCGGCCCGCGGACCATTTCCAGTCCACAGGTGACTTCAATCCCACCCACTTCATAAAAATAAAAAATAAATTGGGGTGGGAGGGTTGGTTTTGGGTTTTGGGGTTCTGTTTATTGCATTTAAGATTCAATGCAATAAAATAAACACATTTAAACGGTAACTTATCGTTGTAAAGTTTGGTTTATTTATATAATGATTTTAATCGCTGGATGTCCGGCCCCCGAGCAGTTGGCTTTCAGAAACTGTGGCCCCCTGAGCAGTTTAGTTGAATAGCCCTGTGCTAAACGCTCTAAAAGAGCACAGTGTAAAAGAACAGACAGACTGAAGCTACGGTTACTGTGCCAATCAGCGCCCAGGGGCAGACTGGCTATCAGGAGCACCGGGACCTTCGGGAAATGTCTCGGCTTAGTTTGGGTTAAGGCTCGGTTCGGATCGCGCTTGATTAGTTTCAATAAACAATCCATGCCGCTCACTTTGGTATCTGCCTCATTGAAGCTCCCACAGCAACAATTGGGAAAGACAGACCCCACCCCTGCCCCCTCCTTTCTCTTTCTGAGAATGACAGCCTCAGAAAGAGAAAGGAGGGGGCCCCTTGGCGGTCACTGAGCGGCCAGGTCACCGGGAAACAATGTGTACAACTTATGTTGAAAACCTGTGAAAGAGTGAGTCTGCAAAAGTCAAACTGCGAAGTATCGAGGTACTGCTGTTTACTGTAAATGAACATGATATATAAACTCACTTCTTCTTTTGAGCAGTGGTTCCCAACCTTTTTTTTTTTTTTTTACCTGGGAGCACATGCGTACGTTTTAACAACAAAGCTAATTTGAGCTAATTTGTCATTTATTTATTAGAAATAATATCCAGGTATTTTTTCTTTCCATAAAAACTATCAGCCCTCCTGATGGTGCATACATCTCTGCAGGGAGGAGTCAGGATGTTTGTGGACAAAGAGCTGAAGACTGTACGTAGAACTGAATCTGTTCTGTTTGAGCCATCTGAGTCCAAACAGCTTACCTTTTGATAAGCCAAATAATTTTGTATTCATTTATTTGAAAATGTTTCTATCATACTAATTTAACTTGAAGACACATTTGAGGTTTCTGTGTATGTGAACATCAGTAAAACGGGACGTTGGGAAATGGGATTTCCTAAGAAATGATGCTAATCAGTGCAAAATAATGCTCATTCAGAGCTACCATATTTTCTCATGCGCACTGCTGCTCCACATTTGCCATTTTTTATATTCTTCATTTTGGTTTCTATAGTGTTTGATTTAGGACCCAACATCTGCATGCTGGTTTCAATCTAGAGAGCAAATCTGCAGAGAAGGACACTTATACATAAAATACATCAGCCTGTTGGAACAAACGATGCATTTTCTAGTTTTTGTTTTTAATTCTATGAACACATCCACTTGTCAGAGGCAACTTAGCGTGTAACAGCAGTGTCTGTTGCACCGCAGTTTTTTTACATTATTCGTTGTATTTTACACATGAGAAAAACATATTTTCTGTGCTAATAAAACCTTGCAGACCTCAAATGAGGGCTGGACGTTGGGAACCACTGCTTTAAATGTGTGAGTAAAAAAACAGCTAAAACAAAGTTGTAGCAATGCATTCATCTGACTTTAAGTATAAATGTTAATGGAGATCAGATTTGAAAGGACAGACTGAGGTTTTAATGGAAGGTTTGGGTTGTGATAAGACACAGAGGAGCTGTTTGGATGGAGGATAGAAGAAATGGAACGAGGGTAAGGACCGTCAATTGTCCCATGGAACTGGCAAGCCTGTGTTGAGATGTCTCAGTCATAAAATGCTGTGGTTTACCGCTTCCTAATCCAACACTACATGTGTGTGTTCGCCCACCCACTCCGATGCTCCTTCAGTGATGCTTTCCTCCTAGACATAAAAGGTGAAACTCACCTGTCTTATCCTCGCTATTTAAAGGATTTTAGAGCCAAGCGTGTGCACATAAAGCGACTGACACTTTGAAAGTGTGAAGAAAATTCCATGTGACTCTTGTCATATAAGCTCAGCTGTATAGTTGAGCTTTTAAACACCCCATTCTTTCACTGAACCATATTTTATGCAGCTGCTGAATGTCTTGTGGTTGCATGGATAGATTATACACATCTTGTCGCTGCAACGTTCTGTAGACTTTCCGTGCGGTTCTCTCCTGAGATATGTACTGTACATGTACATCTGACTTTATTAACAGTGTGGTTTATGAGCATGCTGATCTGTGATTTGTCTGCATTGAGCAGCAGACTTTTGGGAACAAGACTATTTGTATAAGCAGTCGATAAAATGCACCATATATCAACAGGGGGGCTTTTTTCCAATTGTGTGAGGCAGAGCTGCCCCACAGTGGATTCAGCTCTAAGTGGACAGGAACACAATGGCACCATTTTGCTCTGAAATATTGTGAAATCCTCAATATGTCACTCATTCAAGCTACTTCAACAAACACAGTTTACTTGTCCGCATGCAGAGATTTGTTTTAATTGAGGGCTGATGCTGAGAGAGAGGGGAAAAAAGAAAAACCCACTGTGAGCGAACAAAAACTTCCAAGTGCCCAACACCCCATGTTACTCCGTCAGTCAGTGTGGCCTGGAAGTTTGCCATTTTGCTTTTTTTTTAATAGGAAAAAAGAAGAGGGAATAAGAAGAAAACAAAAAACAGAAAAAAAAAGGGTTGGTAGCAAAAGCGCAGTAGAGGATGAAATTAAAATAAAGTAATTAAACTAGTAATATGACATAAACTGATAATCCTTCTGTTGCTGCTGGGTTTGGATGCAACCCCCCAGGAGTGTTTATAAAAAGTTTAAAAAATTGCTTTTTCCCCATCACTGTGCATTTTGCCAACAGTTTTGCAGCTGTAGTTAGCTGCGGGTCAGACGGCTCTTAATGTGTGAGCATGCTCTGCTGTTGAACCACCGTCTTCCACTTCTTCTTTGTTGCCTTCACCTGAGCTTTTTTGACTTCTACCTCTTGCCCAAGGCGAGAATAACAGAAAGCAGCAACGTGCCCCCCCCCCTGCATCTGTAATCACTCTCTTGCTGTTTGCTGTACACTTACAACACACTCAGACGTGCATATATTGCACACCGTGTGGCAAACGCTGCTCTGTTAGCAAACAGCACTTCAGCTTTTACTTTCTTCTTCCTTTTTTTTTTTTTTTTGTAGATTTCCACACATGTGCCATTTTTTTCTAGTGATTTGGTAGATAAAAGCCTGAGCGCTGCGTGCATGTCGGTATTGATGTGTTTAGGGTTCACATACTGAACAGGCACATGGTGTGTGCTTATGTGTGTGATATGCTTTAAAAACAGTTCAAGCTGATTTTGGAGGGCTGATGTTTGTGGTTGAGGTTTTATTCCGTTTGTTCAGTTCTACTTCTGATGCTAAAAACAAACTTTGTCTTTCTTCTTTGCTGAATGGACCTAGTGATGCAAACACTGACCTATTCTTCTGAAGTTAGACTATTAGATGTTTGAAACGAGAACATTTTGCTCTTGTTTGCTGTGTAGTAAAAAAGATTTAGTTTTATTAAAAGAAAGTTTTATTGTTGCGAAAAACTTGTTCATCCATATTTCCTGGAATGCAGTATTTTCTGTAAAGATGACAGGTTTTTACCAGCTTGTCTGAAGTGTTGTTGGTTTATGTCTGACATGTTCATGTGATTGAAAACGATTCCAAACCAAACTTTTGTGTCAGTCTCGGTGTCATTTGGACAATTGTAGTCAGAAAATGATGTGAACATACTTTTGTCATCATGCAGATGAATGCACATGTCATTTAATTGTAATATGGAAACTAGCAATAGTTTGAGAACTATCCATCCATTATTTTTTACCCGCTTCTTCCATTTTGAGTCACGGGGGTCGCCGGTGCCCATGTCAAGCAATCACTGTGCGAGGGGCGGGGGACACCCTGGACAGGTCGCAAGTCCATCACAGGGACACACATATACAAACGAGACAAACAACCATTCACTCTCCCACTCACACCTAGAGACAATTCAGAGTTACCAATCAGCCTAACATGCATGTTTTT